TGCAGCGAATACCGAAAACACCCGAAAAGTGGAAAATGCGCATCCGGCGCGTTGGGCTCGCGGTCCCCGCGCAGCCCCCGAGCTGCTGCTGACGCTGCGTGTGGCTCTAAATCCTCACAAGAGTGATAGTCGACTGGATGAGCTGGTTGTAGCGGTGACGGATCCGGCGTCGCCTCTGTACGGGCAGCACCTAACGGGCTCCGAGCAGCTCCAGAAGCACTTTAAACCATCGGAAGCCAGTCTCCAGAGCTTCCAACAGGTGCTAAAAGATGCACAAGTGTTGCAAGCGAAGCCCATTGACGCCATCCAGGATTTCTGGCACGTAGAGCTCTCTGCAGCCACAGCTGAGCAGCTTTTTAGCACCAAAATGTTCCACTACACACACCGCCAACGCTCCGAGTTATCGGTGGTGCGTCCTGAGGAGAGCTACAGTATCCCACAAGAGCTAGAAGGAGCAGTGACTTATATAGAGGGACTGGAGAGTTTCCCCACTGAAATGCAGGCCAAATTCATGCAAGGAGGAGTCACGGACGACAAGGACCCCTTTGCCATCAAACAACAGCCGTTCTCGGGCGATTTCCGAGTCAATTCGAGAGGAGCGACGCCAGCAGTGATTCGAGAGCAATATGATATTCCAGAGACGATAACAGCTAACTATTCCAATGGCGTGAGTGAGGAGAGCGCTCAAACGGAGCATGTAGACCGCAATAAACTCGTGGTGGGCACGTTCCTTCACGAATTCTACAGTGAAGAAGATCTGAAACAGTTCCTACACACGATTGACGGTCAACACCACACCATTAAGATGCCAAAGACCAGTGGACAATGCGTCTCCTCGTACAGTCCAACCGGTGAGGCATCGCTAGATGTCCAAGTGACGGCATCTCTGACAGGCCATGGGACCAGTGATGCCTCCAGTATCGAGATGTTGTGCTACACTCAACTCCGAGACCCGACACGCGACTATGCTGCTGACAACCAGGAACCTTTTCTTACATTTTTGCAAGACGTCAACGCCATGCAACCTCCTCCTGCCGTCGTGTCTATCAGCTACACAGACGACGAGTGTAGTGTACCAGTAGCCTACGCTGCAGCTGTCAACCGCGTGCTCATGAAGGCTGCTCTTCGTGGCATTTCCATCCTGGTTTCCGCTGGCGACGCTGGTGTGCGAGGAAGTCATCTAGCAGAAGGTTTCTGTCGTGTACCGGCGTGTTCCAAGTTCATGTCGATGTTCCCGGCCTCCTCCCCATACGTCACAGCCGTCGGAGCTACAACCATCGCCACAGGCTCCGCTCGAGACGATAATGGCAAGTGGAAAGAGGCTGTGACGTCCACTTCTGAAGCACGAGCACTCATCACTTCGGGCGGTGGCTTCAGCGATCTCTACGATATGCCAGAATATCAGCGGAAAGCGGTGTCTCCCTATTTGAACTTCGCTAGCTCGACTGGTATCTCACCGTATTTCCGAACTACTGGAAGAGCGATGCCTGATGTGGCAGCCGTGGGTCACGCGTTCCCTGTGGTCGTCAACGGCGAAGTAGGCGCGACGGACGGCACGTCTGTGTCTGCCCCCGTATTGGCCTCTATGATAACGCTACTTAACCGCGCATTACCTGAGTTACCGCCTCTAGGTTTCCTGAACCCGCTACTCTATCGGTTACACGACGTGTGTCCACACGTGTTCGCTGACATCACTCAAGGCGACATTGCGTGTGGCTCGAAAGGAATGAAATGCTGCAAGAAAGGTCACGTTGCTACGACTGGATGGGATGCAGCGTCGGGTCTTGGAACGCTCCGCTTCTCCATGTTGCTGAACGATCTTCCTGACTGTTTGGCTCGCATGAAATCTTCAAACGACTTTGCGATAACCGAGCAACTTTCTGCCATGTTGCTGGACGAGAAGGAATCAGAGATTCATGTGAAGAGCTGGACCCCTGTAGAGCAGCAAGCTATGCAATTTCTAGGTGTTGTCAGCTTAATCTGTGCTGTCAGCCTCATTGGCGTACTGTTAGCTCTGCGTGAGCGACTCTTTTTGGATTTGGGCGATCAGAGAGCAGGTTCTAGGCGATATGGCTCTTGTGCCGCTCATGACTCGGCCCGCGAATACTTGATTTCTCATTAATCTGTCAGCTACACGCTAAGCACTTGAAATTGCATAATAGAAGTGCTTATCATTCAACACGTTGGGTTGTACGTAGCTTTAATCCTGGCCCACCTCGATGGCTTCTTCAATTTCTTCTTCGTCGTCATGTTGCTTCGCCTTGAGCTCCTTAGCGTCTTGTTCCTCGTGACACAATTCCTTTGCTTCAGATGCCTCCTCGTTGACAAGATGAAGTTGCTGAAGCCACGTAGCACACCGACGAATTGAACGTTCAGTGCTCGTAGCGC